AGTAACATTGACATGAGGTGAGATGGACCTGGCTGATAGTAGAAGAGATGGTGAGAAGTGCTGACTGGATTCTGGATATATTTTTAAAATAGAGCTGAAAAGATTTAGTGATGAACTAGATGTGGGCTGTGAGATAAAGAGAGGAATCAAGGATGCTGCTAATATTTTTAGCCTGAGTAACCAGAAGGATAGAGCTACATTTGCAGAAATAAGGAAAACTTCAACTAAAGGAGGCCTGAGGTATGCATGGAGGTATACATGGAAGTTAGATCAGTCTGGTTTGGGGTATGCTGAGTTTGAAGTGCCCATTGGACACTGGGTTGGTAGTTTGAAGGTTTGAGATGTTGGCCTGGAAATCGGGAGAGTCAGAAGTCTATGGTATTTAAAGCCACATATCTTAAAGTTCCTTTGATAGGTACTGGATAAATCCATACCTTCCACCTTCCTCCTCAATGCACCTGCCTCCATTTCCTTGTTGCTATGGTTTCTAATGCTTATATTCATCTCACTCTAGTTTTGGTATGTGAGGTATCCTAGATTGTTCTCCTCCAAGCAATCTACCTCCTTATAAACAAGATGAGGGCCAGGGGCAGTAACTCACACCTGTAATCCCAGCACTTTGGGAGGCTGAGGTAGTCAGATCCCTTGAGCTCAGGAGTTCAATACCAGGCTGGGCAACATAGTGAGACCCAATCTCAACAAAAAAATACAAAACTTAGCTGGGCATTGTATTGTTGCATGCACCTGTAGTCCCAATTACTTGGAAGGCTGAGGTGGGAGGATCGCTTCAGCCAGGGAGGAGGAGGTTGTAGTGAGCCAAGATCTCACCATCGCACTCCAGCCTGAGCAACAGACTGAGACCCTGTCTAAATTACACACACACACACACACACAGATCATAGTTCTCTGTAACCTGTCAATTGTATGTACAGTAGTACATATGAAGGTAAATAATGATATGGATATATAACCCAAATACTTAGATGTTTTCATGCTGTTAGTTGTTTATAAAGGGTAATTAGCAACTGTGTTTATAATGGTTAGGAGTCATAAGCATTTATTCAAACAAATTCAACAGGCATTTATTTTCTTATTAAAAATAAGAAAGTTCAAGGTTTCTAAGTCATGACTTCAATGTCATACAGTACAGTGATTCTCAGCTTTGGTTTCCTGAAGTGGCATTTCAGGAGGGTTGACTGTGGAGCCAGCCCACCTGAGTTTGAATCCAGACTTAACAACTTCATGTTGAGAGAAGCAATCAGCCATGGATCCTGAGTGTCCCTACATGTTCTTGTGGAGTGTGACAAAAATTCAAGGCCAGAATCACTGTTTATCCAGGCCATTTCTCAGGGTTGTGTTTGCACCAAGAAACTGCAAAGGTTGAGATAATGTCTTCTCACTGAAACAAAGAGCAGGCTTTCTTTGGTTTACTATAGAAGCAGTAAATTCCCCATGTCCAGGCATCCATGTAGACTCACTTGTGTTTCGCCTGCATGAAATGGGGGGCTTGGGAAACTGGCACAAACGTGAAGCACTGGCTACTTCTTTTGCTATGTGTCCTTTGACCCAGCATCCAAGAAACAGTGACTAACTTATTAGTTTGTGCGTAAAGTAAATTACCAGACTCCTCACAGTTCCTGATGCTTAGCAACTGTATGACTTTGAGACACAGAGGTTTCTTAACCTAAGTTTCACTTTCCTCACTTGGGAAATAGGATATTAGTAGTTTCAACATTAAAGGTTCTTGCAAGAATTAAATAAAATAGTGTATATAAAGTACTCAGCAAACAGTGCCTGGCATATAATAAGCACAAAATAAATGTTAGCTAATTAGTAATGGACTATTTCTAAAATTTCCAAATAGCTAGTGATAATTACGTATTAATGATGTCTCCTAGGTATTACATAATTACTCATTTTTTACATAGTAGGAGAAAAAATACTTTTAAAATAAAGCATGATATTAGCAAATACTTATACTAAAGTATTTAATCTTCACAGATGGTATTGTTATGCCCCTTTTACAAATAAAGAAAATAGCACAGAGAGGTTAAGTAATATTTTCAAGAACACAGAGCTAGTAAGCAGTAGATCTGGGATCCAAATCCAGGCAGTCTGGATCCAGAACCCATGCCCTTAACCACTAACTTGTGCTATATCTTAGTGTAGGAGTCCACGGGGATTTGGGGTGAGAAAAGAAAAGGGGTCCTGGTGTTTAAGACAAAGTCTAGAAACTGATCTCCCTGCAGATGAGAAAGCATACCCAGGAATGCCTCATGGTAAGTTAGTGGTGGTCAAATCCAGAATTTAACAACTTTGTCCTCAGATACATTAACAGAGAATGTCTATTGTTCTTAAGTGAGAAACATGACTATGATTTAAAATAGAGTAGAAAATATTCAGCAATTTTTTTTCTTCACCCACCTAGAATAAGGAGCTAATTTTGTCATTTCCTAATATCCTCTCATATGTATATATTAATACGCTCTACTTGCATACATAAATATGTATAAACTCTCATTGCAATAAATATTAAATGTAAAAAACAAAGCACACATATTAAAGTGTGAAATGTAAAATGTAAAATTCCAACCCAGTTTGGAAAGCTACAGTTTGAAAAGACTTTTCAAAATTGTTTTTTCATTATTGTTATTGTTCATTTTGTTGTTGTTTTTAAGAGAGTAATATGTGCTTACTAGAAAAAAAAATCTAACAGAACAGAAGGGGATAAAATAAGAAGTAAAATATTCCAGACACTCTAATTTTATTTCTCATTGTTAGGCAGTTTACCTTTCCAGGAATTGTCTATAAAGCTACAATTATATAATATACATACATTTAAATTTGTCTACGATTATATTGATGTCTTTCATAAACTATATTTCTGCTTATTTTTAAACTTTAATACTATATTATGACTTGTTTCTATATATGTGCTTAACATTTATTTTGATGTAAAATATGATTCTGCCACATTCTTTTCAACAACTTCACAGCAATTTCTTTGCAAGGCTAAGCCACATTGTGGGCAACTGTTGCTCTATTAATGGACATTTAAGCTGTCTCAGTTTTTTACTGTTAAAAATAGTGCTACAACAAATATCTTATATATCTATCTCCGTATATATGTGCAAATATACTGAAAATGAGTTCCCAGAATTAGAATGGATAAGTCAAAGGGCATACAGATCTTAATTTTGTTAAATTCCATCAAACTGCTTTCTATTACAGCCCCAAGAACTGTCCCTTGACTGTTTCCTTACATCCTCATATTGTTTTATGACTCTTAATTATTAAATATCCCTTTGTTGTGTGTTTTACTTATATTTCTCATTATAGGTTTGATATTGTTTATGTTTTCTTTTACTATATAGAGGTTTTAGATTGTTAGGTAGTGACATTTATCGATCTTTTTGTCTATGGGAGTTTCCAACTTTCCTGATATGCTTCGAAACACCTCTCACATGAAACAGCAATACATAAATTCATCCATAAATGCATAAATGAGACAGATCTGTAACTGTTGATAGGAAACAATTGGACACACAGTCCTAAGTGTAAAAGCCAATCACAGATGAGTATGCACAATGCTGTAGGTACATCTACATATTTGCGTTATGTCTAGAACACCCCTGGAAGGTGGCCTGGAGATGGGGTGAGTAGATAGCAGATTATTCTTCATTCTTTTTACTATTTGAACTTTTAAAAAGGTATTATCTATTCAAATGTAAATGTTTTAGTCTTACTGTTTAAAAATAAAAGAGCAACCTCTGTCATGTTTGCATACAAAAAGTCCCCTTTGGCCAGGGCACAGTGGCTCACGCCTGTTATTTCAGAACTTTGGGAGGCTGAGGTGGGCGAATCGCAAGGTCAGGAGTTTGAGACCAGCCTGACCGACATGGTGAAACCCCGTCTCTATTAAAAATACAAAAATTAGGCGTGGCGGCGCGTACCTGTAATCCCAGCTACTCAGGAGGCTGAGGCAGGAGAATTGCTTGAACCCGGGGGCGCGGAGGTTGCAGTGAGCTGAGATCGTGCCACTGCATCCAGCCTGGGCGACAGAGCGAGACTCCGTCCCCCCACCAAAAAAGTCCCTCTTTCACCTACAATACATTTCGTGCCCTACCATTTACAGCTTAATATATTTAGAGTGTTAGTATAATTAGTAAGGCGGGGATCCCGTCTTGCCTTCTACCAAATAGGTCTGTTGAATTTTTAAGTTTGTTAAGAGGCAAAGACCATGGGTGGAGAGGAAGGAGTGAGAGTGCCAGGTGAGGAAACTCTAAAATCTCTCGACTTATTATGAGAATGGTCGCCACGGAAGGCTAAAAGTCTTCTAGTGCCAGATTTGGGTTATACACACATCTTCTATTCAATTACTGTGATAAGCACTCGGGGTGTAGGGTGAGGTGTACCTTCTAGCTTGATGCTGCTGCTTCCAGTCCCAAATCAGATGGGCGGGGCCAGAATAGGAGCAGAGAAAGATGAGATGCTTCACACCGAGTGTGTGTGTGTGTGTGTGTGTGTGTGTTTGAGACACAGTCTCCCACTGTAGCCCAGGCTGGAGTGAAATGGCACGAATCTCGGCTCACTGCAACCTCCGCCTCCCGGGTTCAAACATTTCTCTTCTTCTGCCTCCCGAGTAGCTGGGATTACAGGCGCCCGCCACTACACCAGGCTAATTTTTTGTATTTTTATTTTTTAGTAGAGACGGGGTTTCACTATGTTGGCCAGGCTGGTCTCGAGCTCCTAACCTCGTGATCTGCCCGCGTCGGCCTCCCAAAGTGCTGGGACTACAGGCGTGAGACACCGCGCTCGATTGCTTCGCACAGTTTTTAAAAGTAAAAGCGGAACATTCCTCACCGACCAGGCAGCTCCAGGAGCCCAGGCGGGAATCGCTGCCCGGCACACAGAACCCAGAGTCCAGCGCGGCTATCACCGGCTCTAGGCTGGGTCTAAGCGTCCGGCCAGGAGGCCGCAATCAGAACCTGTCCTCCTACCTGCGTAAGAAACGTAACTCTTCTCGCTGAAGTGCTTGGCCAGCCTCCTAAGAAGCAGCTTCCAAACTCGCCGCTTTCTCAGTTGTTGGTTGTTATCATAGCAACGGCCCTAGCACCACCTCTTCCGGCCAGGGCACGACAGGGGCGGCCGGGGGGCGGGGTCGGGAAGGAGGAGCGCGGCTTGGGGGAAGGGGAGGAGCCAGATGAGGGGGGCGGGTCGGAAGGAGGAGTGTGGCAGGAAAGAAGGGGAGGAGCCAGATGAGGGGGCGGGATCGGGAAGGAGGAGCGCGGCTTGGGGGAAGGGGAGGAGCAAGAGGAGGGGGGCGGGTCGGAAGGAGGAGTGTGGCAGGAAAGAAGGGGAGGAGCCAGATGAGGGGGCGGGATCGGGAAGAAGGAGTGTGGCAGGAAAGAAGGGGAGGAGCCAGATGAGGGGGCGGGATCGGGAAGGAGGCTCGCGGTAGGGAAGAAGAGGAGGAGCCAGAAGAGGCAGGTGGGGGGCCTGTAACGGAGGAACGCGGCAGAGGAAAGGGAGTGGGGCCAGAGGTGAGGGGGCAGGGCGAGGAGGAGCTAGAGGCAAGGATAAGGAGTCAGAAGTAAAGGAGACTGATGGAGACGCAGAAGGGAAAAGGGGAAGAACTGAGGGTGACGGTATGGGGAGGAGGAACGCGGCAGAACAAAGGGGAGGACCCAGAAGCCAGGATTTGGGGAGGAGCCGGAGGTAAAGGGACGGGGAAGAGGGACGCGACAGGGAGAAGAGGAGGAGCCACAGGCAAAGGGAGGGAGGAAGGCCGCCGCAGGGGAAGGGGCGGGGCTAAAGGCGAGGGGGCGGGAGAATGGACTCGCAGGGAGAATGGACTCGGCAGGGAGAAGGGGAGGGACCAGAGGCGGGTGGGGAGAGGAGGGACCCGGCAAGGAGAAGGGGCGGGGCCAGAGGCGAGGGGGCGGGGAGCCAAAGGCTAAGCGGGCGGGAAGTAGAGATGCGATGGGGGAAGGAGAGGAGCCAGAGGCGGAGGCGGTTACCAACGTGTTACCTAGATGCCAAAGTGAATCAGGACAGTAACCTCTCCCCAAGATCTTTAACACTTGTGAAAGCGCACAGCTTTCTAAACCAAACAGACAGCAATTTAATTTTACACATATAAAAAATCAGAGAGAAAACATCAGTATGAAGTCAGAGGCGAAAAACTGTCAAAAGGAGAACTCAAGTGTATAACAGCAGGTGCCTACTTGCTTTTGTTAAATTAACAATTTGGATCTCAGCATCCCGTCAGCCAGAGACATGGGAGACAGTAGCTATCAAATAATTCTCCTTAGAAGCAGAACTTTTGTTAATCGCTAAATTAATTAATAAACTAAATTTTGTACATCAATACATCAATAAATTGTTTTTGTTGTTGTCGTTTTGTTTTTTTGTTTTTGGACAAAGTCTCGCTGTCGCCCAGGCTGGAGCGCAGTGGTGTGATCTTGGCTCACTACAACCTCCACCTCCCGAATTCCAGCTTCAACCTCCTGCCTCAATCTCCTGAGTAGCTGAGATTACAGGCGCCCGCCACCACCCCAGGCTAATTTTTTGTATTTTTTATAGAGACGGGGTTTCACCATGTTGGCCAGGGTGATCTGAAACTCGTAGTCTCAAGCAATCCACCTCGAAAAGTGTTGGAGATTACAGGAGTGAGCCACCGCGCACAGCCTATCAATAAATTCTTTAAGAAAATGTTTAAAGAAGCACAGGATAGTACTGAAGATCAGGTCAACTATGTTTCTTTTGGAAATTTAGTAACAAACTACACGTTGCTATGTCATAATAGCACCTAACATTTATTAGGTATTGTCACGAAGCACCTTACATAGATTGCTAATTTAATCCTTACAACGATTTTATTAGGGAGAAACTGCTTTTAGATACATTTTGTAAATGAGAAAACTAAGGCATACAAAGTTTAACGAAGGAACCAGGATTAAGCCCAAGCAATTTAACTCCAGGTCCGAGATTTTTAACCACTATTACGCTACTGTTTAATATGCTTTGATATTTTTAAAGGATTAATAAAATTAGTACAGGTCCATTCCCTTATTCATAAATGTTCATTGTCTTCCTCTATTTATTTATACTGTTCTGCTGAAATTGCACTCTCATCTCTCCAGTAGCTTTGTCGTGTCCATTTTTTTAGTCATCTCGTTTTAAAATATATTTTTACTAGAATAGTGAAATACATATTTTCTGATAAAATTGGCTTTGTTTTAATAATGATGTTAAGTAAAAGTAAGTGCATTTTAATCATTTCCACACATTCATGAAAAGGAAAGGGGAAAGTTGCGCATTGAGGTAACCACTAGCATTAGCCTTTCTTGGTTGGCTAGGTCAGGTGTAAAGGTGTGCAGGTAAGATTTTATGAACAGGCATCCACTCCCACCTCCAAAATCAAAATTTATCTTACATTCTGCTACTAATTAAAATTCCACTTATTTTAAACATTCGCTTTTCTGGGTCTCCTCTTTAAAATTTATCATTCACTGTTCTCCATGTTAGAGACTGTATGCAAACAGTAAGTTTATTCCAGTCAGGAGATGGGGAAAGAAAAACTGGTAGCAGTGTTTCCACTTCCAGTGTCTCGCAGTGTTAAATGTGACTTGATATTCACTATTCGTTTTTGTTTTTGTTTGTAGTTTGCTGTGAGCATGACTTTATACAATTCAATCTTAAATAGGAACCTAACTTAATAGTTATTCTTCCTTGGGTAGTCTGTGGAACATGGGAAGGTTACTAGCATATCAAACTCCTGCCCACACGCACATACACACACATACACACAAATGCAGTTTGGTTACATAATAAATGTATGTTTAAACTGAATGACAACAACCAATAGGAAAAACCTTCTCAGCTCCAAAAGTGGAAGAGTAATTTTACAATACCATTTTCCTTTTCACGATAAAATTATGCATTTTCTCAGGATTTATTGCACCAAATGCCTTTGTATTTCTCATGAAACATCAACTTTCATTCATTTCAGCATTTATTTATGTTATAAACATTTCTTTTGATGTGCTTTTATTTTTACAAAGATGCCACCTAGTGGCTTGATAAAATCAAGCATGTCAAAATATTTCCCGTTGTTACTCCAAGCTAAAATGAATAATGAAATTTTAAATATTAAAATTTAGAAAACTAAGGACCTGAACATTTTCGTTTTGAAAACTGCCTATGTGGATTAAATTTGGATCATAATACTGCCTTGTGAACTTGTTAAGAGTCTGGAAATATAAGTCCATACTCCCTTTTCTGAAACCTTTGGGACAGATGTGTTTGATATTCAGAATTTTTCAGATTTCTGAAAGGAAATATGGGCGTATATTTTACATTATGTAACACATTCAGAGGGTCTGAGGAAGCAATTTAGAATCAAATACATTGATACATCTGTGGTAAAATATATTCATATTCACATTAAAGTGGGATAAATACCACAAATAACCTCACGTAATTCAGATGAGGTTGGTTGCCAAGTGAGTTATGAAAAAGCTTTATTTTCAGAGATTTATGAAGTTAGGAATTTAGATGAGGGATTGTGGACCTGTTTTACTCTGGTGAAAAATAATTCACCCTCTAGTTACAGAGAGATTAAAATGCCAATATTTTGTAATAAAAAATACTCTTTAGAAAAACTAAAAGATTCACCTAAATAAAAGCACTTGAGGATCATGAGAAATACCAAAATAGAAATCTCTGCAATGCTTTTCATTTAATCAAATTCAGAAGGCAATCTATCATAAATTACATTTAATTGTACCACAAAAAAATAGCTAATGTAAACCTGAAGATTAATTTGAAAATTATTAGCTATGACTGGCAAGTTCAATTCATAAATTTTGTGGCAATCAAAAAATTTTTTTAACCTTGGTTTTCTTTCGTTTCTACTTGTAATTTGTCATGTTCCATTTCCCCAGCACCATGATGTTCATGGAAATATGTGTTGATGGTCCCATGCTCAGCCTGGATTCCTTGTATATCCATGAGCACTCCTTGCCAAACGTTCTTAGACATGCAGTATGAATACAAAATACACTTATGTCAAGACACTGGGATTTAATGATAACCCATGCTAAATCACTACATTCCTCACTACTTTACTTCACTGTCTAGAATACTGGTTCATCTCTAGGATCTCTCAAATAAATTCTTCCTGTCCCCATCAATCATTCAAACCCCTTATCATATTCCCACTGTGATTTCCTGTGAATTTTGTCTAAAACAAAACATCAACCTCCTCTAAACCCAACTGGTAGCCTCTCGTTTACTTTTCTCTAAAATAATTGGCACTACTAAACTATTGATGAAGCATAGGCTACAATCTCATTGTACACTTAAGTTTTTCGTTTTTTGTTTTTGCTTTTAGTAGAGACTGGCTTTCACCATATTGGCCAAGCTGGTCTCGAACTTCTGACCTCAAGTGATCTGCTCATCTCAGCCTCCCAAAGTGCTGGGATTACAGGCATGAGTGACTGCGCCTGCCCTTGAACACTTAGCTTTAATGGGAAGACAGCATTCAGCAAATCCAAAATACTCGCGTTACGTTTAGCAATTTGGCATTTAATCCTATACCCCACAACATACTTGCATAGGGTGTCAACTTCTGTTGGTTTATGTAATCATAGAGGATGGGAAGAAAAAGCTGACAGCCTAGGTGTAGGAATTTTCCTATATAGTTACCTCCTTCTTTAAAAAGATACATTAATAAATATTGTTACTGGTTTAATTAGCTTCCTTCCTCTGACTGGGATTAGAAAATCGACAGTAAAATATAAGCTCCCTTTTTTTCCATCCCCCAATTCTGAGGGAAAGGGAAGGAGAGGGGAGAATGAGGGAGAGTGAAAGAACACAATGAAACTTGAGGTCTGACTGCACATAACTGCTACTGCTGGCATCAATTCATTCTATTCCAATGACAGACTACTTGATCCTACTGGTGTAAGAAAGAGGGCAACCTTGAGACCTGAGTCTTACTCCAGTAGGGTGCCATATCCTATTAGCCCAGGACAGTCATGGTGTATATCTGTTATCCTTATGTAACTATTTTCACTCAAAATCATTCCAAGTGGAATGATAAATTATGCTATATTTAGTTATCCTAAATATAAGTCATTTTCATCCCACGGGAAAGAATGTCAAGAAATTGGAATTGTCGGCACTAAGTCCCAGGGTGGGAGAGAGGGGACATCAACTTTGTTGCCATTTCTTCTTTCTTAGCAAAGCTCAAGACTGATTAGCTTCTCTTTCTTCTGAAGTATCTGGAGTATGGTGATTAACTAAAATGAAACCCATGAGGAGAACTGAAGGAGACCATTCTGATAATTATTAAAATTAGTTTAGTAGCCACTCAAAACACTGAAGATCCCTGATTAAAAGATTCATTTGCTAGAGACTTAACCTGGACATTTATAGGAAGCAACTGGGAAAACACTGAAGGAGGAAAAACGATCAGGTATAAGGTCGTGTGAGCAACTGAGACAGGAGGAAGAATCAAGGACCAAATTGCAATAATACCTTTTAGATACCTATCCCATTAATATAATCTGCCTATTACCAATATGCAGCTCTTTGCACAAAATGAAATCCAGTTCACTACGTCTGCTCGTATTTGTTCTTTACAGATATTTGATGGAAAAAGTCAAGCAGAATCTAGGTTCATTTGGTTCCGTCCATACAGCACCGGCAGGAGTAACATCCCAAGCACAGTCATAAATAATAACATAACAGGAGTATCAGTTCTAGAACCAGGCTGCCTGGGTTCAAACTCTAGC